GAAATATATATTATATATATAGATGTATATATAATGTATGATATAGTGTATTTTTATTATAATATATTATTATTATTATTATTATTTATACATTAAAACTCAATTGTGTTTTTCTCAACTTATTAATAATAGTCGAGACTACATGGCTCTGAGCAGTCATCTACTATAACCATCTTTTCACCTTTCTTCGAGTTGATCCTCAGAGTTGTTTTTTTGGCTGGTGTTTGAAGTTACTTTTTCAAATGTAGCCTTACCATAGTTTGTGTAAGACATTAAGTCTTTCATGCAGCTCACAACTACATGATTTATATTTTGGTTGAAGTTCAATTTAATCTTCAATAGTTTCTCAATTCTTTCAGTTGATAATCTGTTTATTTGTCCACTTGTTGTAAGTACTATAGAAATTATTGTAATATCTATGTTTCTACAGTTTCGAAGTTTATCAGCAAGTACTTCGTACTTAGACACTTTTTGAAAGAATGCTTTTCCGATATTCTCGTCTTTGACAATTGTTACGTCAATTATGTAGCCCTTTCTGTTCTTATTATCTTGCCAGTATAAACTGGAAAACAAAATTCGGAATTGGATTTTTTTTTCATTTTTGCTAAATATTCAGGATTTTTATGCAAATCATTTTTTCTTAATAAAAAATATTTTGGGCAAAAATGCTTTTTTGAAGAAAAAGTTCAATAAAATAAGAAGGAAAAAAATAGAAAAATGTTTTTTTTTCGAATAAAAGTTTCTTTTTTTTGTCCCAAAAGTACAATTTTAAAAAATATGTCAGACAAATGAAAACAAATCATAATTTTGATATTTTATTTAAAATAATAAGTTATTATAACAAACAAAAAAAATCCAAAAATAATTTTAATGGTCAAATATTAAAATAAAATATTATTATTATAGTTTTATTTTTAAAATATTATAGAATTTACAACCAAACCAAATATAAAGTCAAAGTTTATTGTTAAATCAAAAAACTGTCTATAAAAATAATAATAAACTAAAAACACCAAATGAATAAAGACGAGCTGATTGCTTTAGCTTTGCAAAGTGGAAAACACTTTTCAGAAATTGAAAAGTTGTTCAAAGTGCCTCCCAAAAAAGTTGCAAGAATTGCAAAATGTATAAAGAATGGAGAACCAATAAAGGTATTAAAGAGGGGAAGAAAGAAAATGACAGTTGATGTCGAAAAAATGATTGACAAAATCACAACTAAAATCCGTTGTCTTCTTGTAAAGAAGTTTTGATAAAAGTCAACAAATCAACAACAACCATTGAGAGAGTACGGAAACGGCTAGGATACCGTTACTCAAAACAAATTTCAACTCGGGTATTAACTAATCAACAGAAATTCAGAAGAAAGTAATTAGTGAAAACTGAATTTCAACCCAAAAACTTTAAAAATGGGAACATTCGATAATATCTGACGAAAGTCGTTTCGGAGTTTTTCCGGATAAAAATGGTGCTGGCGACCAAAGAATTATTTAGCTCGTTTACGATTGTTCAACAAAACAAACGACAGAAACAAATGTTCATTAAAAGAAATTCAACCACTTTTTTCGAAAACACCGAAACATAACACGACTATTATGGTATGGAGAGCAATAGTAAAAAATTTAAGAGTGAGTTATTGCTTTGTCCACCTCGAATGAACTCTTCAAGTAACATAAAAATGCTTTCAGAAAACAATTTTTTTGAAAAATTGAGAAAAAAGAAAAAGAGCAAGTTATTCCACTTTCAACGAGACTGAGCACCTCCCCACCGTTCGAAAACAGCAAAAAGTTATTTTAAAGAAAATAGAATAAGACTACTGCCATGGCCTCCTGCTTCTCCGGATCTCTCACCCATTGAGCATTTATGGGGAATCATGGATAAAAAATTGAGAAAAGATTATCCAATTATCCGATCCGAAAAAAAGTTGTTTAGTGCTCTCAAAAAAACATGGGCCAAAATTCCCCGGACAACTATTGATAATCTGATGAACTCGATTAAAGCACGCTTTGAAATGTGCCACGGAGAAAGAGGTGGACCAATTGCACACCTTTTAGATTTCAAACAATTGAAAAGTTCAGAAATTTTGAATTAGAGTACCGTGAAAAATCACTGCGGCGTGAAATATTACTGCGAATTGTTATTGGTCAAAAATAATGTTATTAAGGGTTTTAAACCATTTTGGGTTATTTTTTGTTATACGAGGCTGTTAAAATGAAAAAGCGATAATTTTG